TAGATTGTTAATATAACTGAAGTAGGCTATTAATTTATACACAGTAATGTACTGGTTAAGATAGATTGTTAATATAACTGAAGTAGGCTATTAATTTATACACAGTAATGTACTGGTTAAGATAGATTGTTAATATAACTGAAGTAGTCTATTAATTTATACACAGTAATGTACTGGTTAAGATAGATTGTTAATATAACTGAAGTAGGCTATTAATTTATACAGGGTAGACAACTCATTTAGCTCGAGTATAGTTTTAGTTTAGATAGAGGTCGCTGTTACCATAGCGTCTTTGGTTGTAGTGTTAAACAGAAGAATTAATTTCCGAAACGAAAATAGTGTTAATAAACAACCACAGAATGAATAATCTCCACCTACAAAGACGTCAGCCGTCTCTAGGTAACCAACCAGCCAATGAGACACTTTCAGCTTTGATAATTATTCGTCAAAGATGTGTCCGAATTAGTTTATAATTTCGTCACGTAGGAAACTGGTGTCAGAAGTGCAGAAGAAAGTAATGTTGTCGTGCGAAAATATGCCAAAGAAAATGGAGCGAAGTAATGATTTGTATACATCATGATCGTCAGAAGAGGATTCTCGTCATCCAGGGTTATAAGTAAAGCGAAACTGGGGACATCCACGTGTTTATGTCTTTAGAACATAGAAACCAGTAGAGACCCGCAAAACACACAAGATTTCTAGAACAATACAAAAGAATTCTTATCGCAGACGTCGAAATCTGTATATATATGTATGTCATATGTATATATATGAAATGGTTATATGGCTTAAAGTTATGTTTAAACTCATTAACTAATTTTTGAAGCTCGTTTTTACGTTTGATATGAGAACAGTAACTAACATCATTAAATTTGCCTTTTAGGTTTTAGTTATGTATTCGTCCACTTATGTTTTGGTGGCGCTGAGTATCGACCGGTATGACGCCATTACACATCCAATGAAATTCTCCGGAGGCTGTAGGTTTCATAATTTTAATATATTTTAAATCTTTATAGTAAAATTTATTTACTAAGAGAAATATATATAACAGAATTTAAATAATATTCGGTTTTCATGGTTAGTAAGTCCATTGTTTTTATTTTTTGTGTGCGTGAATATTGTAAAGTTATAGAAATTACATATTACAGTTTCACGTTCACATCATGTACTGTCTGGCCACTTTATTAGGACCCCTTCTCTCTTCCAAGTTAATGATGTGATATATCAGATGATTGTTTTAGTCATAGAATGTAGAGAGTCTTCCAAGACAATAATGCAAGAATACAACACCTTTGAATAAGACACCTTCTCCGGTTTATCACATTCATCACATCTCAATTTGTGTGAGCATGTTTGGTAAAAAATTGAGCGTTGTATCTAACTACATCTGTCAACCAACTTGGAAGCATGTTTGGTATAAACTTGATCGTTGTATCTAACTACATCTATCAACCAACTTGGAAGCATGTTTGGTATAAACTTGATACCTGTCAACATTTTATGAACTTCATGCCACGCCCAGTCGAAGCTATTGTTACAACGAACTATTGTCTATGTCAAAGTTAGTTGGAAATCTTAATAAACTGACCAGTCAGTGCACGTGGGTAGTGTTCACCGTTCAGAACTTTATTGTATCATATTGTATATGATTAAATTCACATAAAAGTATAGAATATCATGATCATTATATGCAGTGTTCAGTCACTTTATAGGTAAAAAAAACTTTTCCATATTAAAATGTTCACTGTCGTTTAAAAAAAAATCTTAATCTTTTATTTTTTATTTTTTACTAAAGTTAATATTTTAAAACGTTTACAAATACAAACAATGTGAACACATTTCTATGACTTACAAAAAGATTTCAAGTCCTTCGTTATTATTATTTTAGGGAAACGAGCTAAAACCCTTATTGGTTCTGCATGGGGAATAAGTGCCCTAGCGGCGATTCCAGCAATTTTTTTGAATGAAGAATCCTTAATTAAAGGACGACTACAGTGTTGGATTGAGTTGGAAAACTGGCAGTGGAGACTCTACATGTCCCTGGTGGCGATCTCGCTGTTCTTCCTTCCAGCGGTTCTGATATCTGTGTGTTACACAGTCATCGTGAGCACCATCTGGACCAAGAGTAAAGCCCTTAACTACCCTAAAACCAGAGGATCGAAAGGTCAATAAAGATCAGGGCTTACCAAAATATTAACACTACTATTTAAGTGTTATTATAAATGCAATAATATTAATGGTATCATGCTTTTATGATACTATAGTAACCAAGAGAAGAAAGACATTTATTTCTCCGTGCTTAGCTACCATTGTGACGACATCCAGGTAACTATTTGGTATTAGACTGGCGACACAATGGGCCATCCGTGCTCTGTCCGCCATGACTACCGAAACCGTTTATTTAGCGTTGTAAACGTGCAGAATTGTCGCTGGGGAAGGGATGGGGGGGGTAGTATAGGGGATTTTATTTGTACGCAATGGACGACCTGTTCGATGCCCACGACGGGTATCGAAACACAATTTTTAGCGTTATAAGCCTGCAGATTTGCCACTGGGATGCAGTTGTGATAGATTTTGTGTGTGTTTATTTATTGTTAAGCACAAAGATACAAAATGGGCGACCTGTGCTGTGCCCACAACGGGTATCGAAGTCGCTTTTTTAGCGTTAATAAGCCAACAGACTTAGCCATCGAGACACTGGGAGTTAGGTAGTGATAGAACGAATACTTTTAAATGAAGGAGATGTGGTGTTGAACGGTGTAAATCCAATTCGTAGAACGGTGTAAATCTAATTCGTATATCTTCACCGACGATTTACCTAAAATGTTGGTATATTATTATTTTGCTCGTCTTGCTAAGAATGAAAATAAATTTCAAAACCGAAAAATAACTTAATCTAATGGTAGGCACATTTAAATAATCAAGATGTTTGCTGTTGACATAAACACGTTTCGTTGCAGAGCAGACATCGAGTAACTTTATCACATAAAAAGTTTTAAACAATCAAGTTATTTGCTGTTGACATAAACACGTTTCGTTGCAGAGCAGACATCGAGTAACTTAATCACATAAAAAGTTTTAAACAATCAAGTTATTTGCTGTTTACATAAACACGTTTCGTCGCAGAGCAGACATCGAGTAACTTAATCACATAAAAAGTTTTAACCGAACTGGTTTGCATATTTTTTCAAGTCGTTACTTCTATAAGATTCTATAAAATCCGAATAATGACAGATATTGAAAAACACACAGTAATAAAATTGCGGAGTATTTTTTTTATCAGAACATAAATAACAACGAAACTCACATTTTCGGTGTCCCTTGGTCCCTCAGGTCTTATATCAAGACAGCCTTTTGTCTAATAACGAAACCTTTCTTGACGGTTACGGAAATGTATTGTGGTTTCTGCCATGCAGCTGTTATTTAGCAAAATGTAATTCTGTTAAAACAATGTACAAAGTCTTAGAGCATAAATTACTCCCAGATGGTGGGGTTGCTATCTCATATTCGTTCGCAGGAGTTTTCATTCTGGCCATTATGGGATTTCTCAAGGTACAAACCGTACAGAATGATCTCTTACACAGGAATACCGTAGGAGTTGACCAGGTGGTTAGGGCGCTCGACTCGCAATCTGCGGGTCGCGGGTTCGAATCTCCGTTACACCAAAAAAAGCTCGCCCTTTCAGCCGTGGGGGCGTTATAATGTGACGGTCGATCCCACTATTCGTTGGTAAAAGAGTAGCCCAAGAGTTGGCAGTGGGTGGTGATGACTAGCTGCCTTCCCTCTAGTCTTTCACTGCTAAATTAGGGACGGCTAGCGCAGATAGCCCTCGTGTAGCTTTGCGCGAAATTCAAAACAAACAAACGGTAGGAGTTAAATACGCTTCTTCTGGAGCTACGTCATAGAATAGAATTATGGATGGCGAGAAACTCGCTTTTTTTTAGAAAATAAAATATGGACGATGTAAAAAGCTTGTCGAAACGTTGTACATTTGTAATAAAGCTTCTTTCACTGGCCAGTCAAGCCATATACAAACCGTATAGTACAGTTTTTTTCCCTAAAATCCAACTCCCCCCCCCCCCGGAAACTACTCAACAAATGCGGGAAACCGCTGGTAGTGGCGCTGTTAGCAAATTGAGAATACACAAACACAGAGGAACTGCTGAGAATATACAGTAGTAAACAAAATAGTTCACTATTCCACCACCACACTAAAATATTTTTAATAACCTCTGTATCTTACTTGAAAAACACCAGTGTTCTCTATGGGAAATATTGACATAAATAAAGTAACTATAATCATAGTTGTTCGAGATTTTACAGGCTGTGTTCGAATTAAATCATTGACGCCATGTTCTTTTTAATTTTATTTTCTTAATTAATACAAATTTAGACTTTTTTTTTAATGCCGTACTCACAGTGACGTAGAACAAAGAAAACTACCACTGTCGCTACTCTAATGTTAAGCCACACGGGCGTCTTGAGTAGATTAACAAAGGGTTTTGTATTGGGTGGGGTCGTTAATACGTACCAAAAGAGTTTTGTATTGGAGGGGTTGTTAATATGTATACCTATTTGCTGTGTAGCAAAACTTTGTAGTTTAACGTTTCAAGTGGGCCCTATCATGGCCTGGTGGTTAAGACGTTCGATTCGCAATATGAGGGTTTCGGGTTCAAATCCCCATCACCGAAAATGCTCGCCCTTTCAGCCGTGGGGGCGTTACAATGTCACGGTCAAACCCACTATTAGTCGGTAAAAGAGCAGCCCAAGAGTTGGCGGTGGGTGGTGATGACTAGCTGCCTTCCCTCTAGTCTTTCTCTGCTAAATTAGGGACGGCTAGCGCAGATAGCCCTCGTGTAGCTTTGCGCGAAATTCAAACCAATTCCGGTTTCTTGTTTTCACAAGAACTCCTGGACAGGATGTAGGTCCATGGTAGGTTAACACCCAGCTATTAGCTGGTACCAATTTTACAGCTGGGCGGACTGACGCAAATTTTGGGTAAAGTGTCTGTCTAAAGAACATAGCGATTAGAAACGTGTAAGATTCGAATCTACAAGTCCAAAGCCCTAAATACTTGACCATCTAACAAACTTGATAAAATTAGATGGGAAGGTAATAAAGGAATCTAAGCAAGTTGAACACGAAGATATGACTGTGACTATTTTGGGATGCCGAGAAAAACATTATGTAGTATTTATTAGTAAAGATAGTTAAACGGGTTTTTACTCATTTTTTAAACAAAAATGATTTAACTTCCTTCCACAACACGAGTTGATAATTAGATCTAATTTTAGCGTAAAAGATAGGTGTAATATAGCGTAACAGATAGGTGTAATATAGCATAACAGATAGGTGTAATATAGAGTAAGAGATATGTGTAATATAGCGTAACAGATAATATTAAAAAATGTAACAGATAGGTGTAATATAGAGTAACAGACAGGTGTAATATAGAGTGACAGATAGATGTAATATAGTGTAACAGATAGGTGTAATATAGCGTAACACTATATTACACCTATCTGTTACACTATATTACATCTATCTGTCACTCTATATTACACCTATCTGTTACTCTATATTACACCTACCTGTTACTCTATATTACACCTGTCTGTTACGCTATATTACACCTATCTGTTACACTATATTACACCTATCTGTTACTCTATATTACACCTGTGTGTTACGCTATATTACACCTATCTGTTACACTATATTACACCTATCTGTTACTCTATATTACACCTGTGCTATACCTATCTGTTACGCTGTATTACACCTATCTGTTACGCTATATTACACTTATCTGTTACACTATATTACACCTATCCGTTACGCTATATTACACCTATCTGTTACTCTATATTACACCTGTCTGTTACGCTATATTATCCCCCTTCTGTTACTCTATATTACACTTATCTGTTACTCTATATTACACCTATCTGTTACGTATAGAGTAACAGATAGGTGTAATATAGCGTAACAGATGAGTATAATATAGCGTAACAGACAGGTGTAATATAGAGTAACAGACAGGTGTAATATAGTGTAACAGATAGGTGTAATATAGCGTACAGATAGATGTAAACTTTTGTTCAAAAGGACAAAACATACTTATTTCAATATTATATTAAACTACAGTGTTAGAAAGGTTGAATACTCCCAATATTATATTAAACTTCAGTGTTAGAAAGGTTGAATACTCCATTATGTTTTTACAACAAAACATACTTATTTCAATATTATATTAAACTACAGTGTTAGAAAGGTTGAATACTCCATTATGTTTTTACTAACAAAACATACTTGTTTCAATATTATATTAAACTACAGTGTTAGAAAGGTTGAATACTCCATTATGTTTTTACAACAAAACATACTTATTTCAATATTATATTAAACTACAGTGTTAGAAAGGTTGAATACTCCATTATGTTTTTACAACAAAACATACTTATTTCAATATTATATTAAACTTCAGTGTCAGAAAGGTTGAAT